TTTTATGAGTAGTCTTCTGTCTTTATTTTTATGATATTTAGCAATTACTAAATTATAATGTAACTACCTAGGAAGAGAATATATAGTTTTTACGTGGAGACACAGTCAAGAGGAACTCTCTTTTTCATGAGTGTCAGCAAGAGGCATAATATTGTACAATTGTTTAATCAGAGATGAAGGAAGCTAAATTATTGCCTCAGTTCCATCTTTTTATTCATAATGGTGTAAACCAGTAGGATTCAAATATGTCTTGAAGACTGAATCCAGGAAAGATTATTAGTTGTCTCTAAGATGCAGGGAACACCGGAAAGCAAATTTAATCCCACTCAAAATCCATGGGAACCTAATAAACAGCAGCGATATTTAACTGACATTTCAAAGCTCAGAGGCAGAATCATTGCATTTGTTAGCCTTTAGTCTCATTCCTTCATCATGCTTCAGTGCAAGAAACTGGATGCAGAAAAAACTTGTCAAATATCACAGAGATCAAAAAAGGGAATTAATTTACTGAAAGCAAAATGTTCACATTCAATGATGGAAGTTCATATTGAGCTGCAGAGTATAACAGCTGATCCTAAATCTGCTTATCCCAGTTTCAATCAGACTGTTTCCATTGGTAATGTTACACAACTGCTGGGAGACTTCACTGTAAAGACCTAAATAAAAACATGCACGTTTCAAAGAATGAAGATGGATATCACTTCAACTAACCCTTCACTTATTTCTATATTCAAAGCAACAAGGCACACTCCGGTCGAATCACTGTAGTAGCAGAAATATGGATTCACCTACAGCCTCACTCTGTCTCTGGCAGAGGTATTTCACAGAAATCTTCACAATTAATCTAACTAGGGTAACCTCCAAAACCCTAGACACACAGAGGAATGACTGGTCCTCATCCAAGTGGATGAGGATTTATTGATGAGAGGAAAGGACATGAAACAGGAGTGGCAGAGCTCTGCCTCAGAGGTCAGCTCTGCAGGCACAAAGCTCTTACTTTGAGGGATTATGTTTCAAAAATGGTGTAGGGAGGTGTGTGTTAATACCTCGAGGGCTTCTGTCAGTTACACCAATGCTGGACTATGGTGAATAAAGAATGCTGCGAGTCACCGTGCCATTTTCTAACGGGATTATTTCTACACAGGCCAGAAAAACTCTCACAACTTGTGGATGAAATACTCACCGACAAACATCAGTTGATGTGAAACTCACTGAATGCTGGGAAACAATCTATTTGGGCTATGCCTGGGTTAGACAGAGTAAGCAGATGTGACAACTAGAAAGGAATATTGCTGCAAACAGCATTTGTTTGCAGATTTAATTAAAAGTTTAGACAAAAGAGTATAATTGTATGACATTTGCAAGAGTTGCTGAAGATGATAGCAGGTTCACAGAATTTGCTTCTCCTAAACAGCCCAGATCCAGTGACTCTAGAAACATATAATAATCCACATCCCAAATAGTACCTCTTTGTATTTCTTAGTTAAAAATCTCATGCCAGTGGTCAACTATCATCACTACCTACAAAGCATTTTTACCTTCACATGCTACCTGCTGACTAGTCCCTCTTCACAGCTGTAGATAAGTGTTCAGAATATAGAAACAATTGCTGTAAGTGATATAACCTTGTTGATTTTTTCGCAGAGTCTAAGAACAGCTGCAGGCACATCACAGGTCTCACTACTGCACTGCCTCTTTCCTGGCAGGGACTTAGAGTAGCTACTCATGGAAAGAAAATAAAAACCAGGACAAATATAGAATAATCTTCTGCCTACAAAGTTGTTCCCTGCAGATAAGGCCAAGCTGACTAGGATGGTAGGGGAATGAACTGGAAACATCAACGATGCCAACCTTTTTGCAGTCCCACAACAATACTGGGGGATAGAGGGGGGGAGAGGTCACATTGGCCCCAGGAGTAGCTTTATGCAACATTTCCATCCCAACTGCCACCTCAAGCCAAGGTTTGACAGAAAAGGAAGTTTTGAATACAAAGTGGAAAAAGGAGTTTTCCACGGGCTTGAAGGACTGCGAGTTCCAATATTAATTGAAGGGAGATGCCTGTGAAATATTTTAGACAAAAAGAGAAACTGGGAGAGTCATCACACGTCCTCTTAGTCAGATGGGAAAATTTCTACCATAATACATCTATTGTCAGTTCTCCTGTATTATACTAAGTGAAGTTAGGGTAGGGAATTCCCCATCATTTTTCAAACCCAAATAAGGACTGTGAAAAACATTTCACAAGTGAAAACTGTACTACCTGCACAGTTACACTTCCTGCTGAAAACAGAGTAGGAACTTGACCTCTAAGTTTTGCAAAAGGCAATGTTTAGAAGGTATCTCCAGATACATACCAATGTACTCCCAGATTAAAATCTTGACTCTCCCATCCTTAGGCTCTATGTCTGGAGGGAAATGGTGGCATCTCTGCGATAATTACTGCCAACAATTTGATTTTCTAAAGGCACTAATTCTGATTTTAGAACCACACAGAAAATTGCCTCTACATCCCTGGCATGAAAACTTCGCCCTATGCAACATGCCTCATCATAAATTATCCGGCAAGGATAAATCTTTTAGAAGCCATGAATGGTGTTGCTGGACCAATTCACTAAACCTGCCATAACACACTTGAGAGATAATTGAGATGTCAAGCCTCATCAATATCAACCTACTTCAAGTAAGGACAAGAGGAGAGGAGAAGAATGATAATGAATGATACCATTATGTGACTCTAGTTAACTTACAGCTTAGAAACAGACACGTATCAGCCACCAATCTGAACATCTTTGAATTTCATGAAAGTCTGGACTTAAAAACAATCTTAATTCCTTAAAAAACTTCTTTCCATAGAAATTGATGACAGAATAGTAGTCTTTGTTTCTATTTTCACTCCTAAAATGTAACGTTTTTTTCCCCTCCACTCTATCTTAACACACAGGAAGTAAAATAATGAATTTGGAGAGCACACTGGAAACATCAGTCAACTATTATTTAAAAAAAAAAAAAAAAAATCCCTTCTGGACCAGGCAGAGGAAGCAAAGTGTCAAATCTCTCAAGAGCTTCAAGCCTCAGAGGAGGTTTCTGCCAATTTTCAGCACTATAAATTTGTTCCCTGCATCATTCTCAGTTCCTGGTTGTAGATTTCCTCCTAATCAATACACATGCATATGCACTCCACACTACTTTCTCATCAAAGGTCTTGCATTGCAGTTATTGTTCACTCACTTTGAAAACTACGTTGATCACAATCCTGTTTCTTTCCTCCCTTTCGTTTTTCCCCATTTCTCAACCCCATCCCCCCTGCCACTCCTTGTGATACCCACCTCTCACAAAGTAGCACCTCGCTCTCTCCATCTGGTTCTTCAACCATCTGCTCACTCCTTCCTTTCCTCACTCCTATCCAGACCTTGCTGGATAACTCTAAGGTCTCTCTAGTGTAGTTCCACATTCTCCTTGTAGCATCACTAAAACACTTTCACTTTTCTGTTCAAAAATACTAAGTACAGCGAGCTTTCTACTCTAGGGCTTGAAGGAGGGGAGGGTGCAAAACAAATATCCCTGAGTTAAATAATCCTCTGCCTTGAAAACTGTAAAATCTTTTGCAAGCTTTATGTTTCATACTGCTCCTCTTCAGTTCATCCAAAATGCCACGGCCAAACTGATCTCCCTTCCTTGATGGGATATTCTGGCCATTTCATTCCACTTCATAAATGAACCTCATCCACCATCTACATCCCACAGGATTTTCAGATTCCCTGTCTTCACATCCACTGCCCCTCTTCTTGCCTGGCACCTGGTGCCACCCCCTGACAATTTTGCTTGGTTTGCTTTGATCTCATCCCACAAGCACTTCTGTGCCTTTCCCTATTCAGGCACTCTCTGCCTGGAATCAGCTCTTGAAGATGATTACTACTCCATTTCCCTCTTGCTCGCCCTCTCTTTTCTACTTTGTCAAAGACTGACATCTTTTCCACATACAAAACTAGAGAACCCTTCAATTCTGCTAGAGAGGAAAAATACTACATTTAAGTGCCATCAAACATCAATTTCCAAACCAGTGCCTTTCTTCTTTCTAAAACACCTGGCTTTCTATTATGTATTTTATTTCCCTACTTTGCTTCCTTTCACAATCCTTCACCTCACAGTGCTCCCATTATACATTTCTTTATGCCTAATCATTTCCTGTTCATCCCCTTGGTTTATGCCTTTTCTCTTGTGTTCTTCAGTGAACACGGCAGGTTACTACCAGATCTTTTTCTGCCTGAGAACAGTCTACCTCATGCCAGGGGATAAACAAAAAATATAGCAATTAAAATTCAGGAAGGCAAAATCAGAGAGATGGCATTGACTTTTATTTTTTTCCCCTCTCTCTCATCAGCTACTGACATTTGGAAAATTTCAACCAACTCTAATAAACAACAAAAATCTGTGCCAGTTTCCTAAGAAAGCAAAGCTTGTATGATTCACAACCTGTCAAGGAGTTCCATCCTAACCTTTTGCACTCTGTAAATCATTATCAAACAAAGAATATGAAAACAGTGAAGACCCAGACATTATCAGTGTTGAAGCAAAGAGAAACCCAAATTAGCACCTTCAGTAACTGTGGGATGCATCAGCCAGCTGGCCTGACCAGCAGAGTAGCTTGGGACACCCATCAGTAGGTGCCTGGCTCGGGAGCAGCCAAGGCAACTCAGGTACATATCCAGCACATGGAAAAGGGAAGGAGCTGGAAGCACTGAGGGAAGTCTGGTAAATGAAATAACTCTGTAAAAGCCAACCTTCCTTAGTTTCCCTGCTTATAGTGAAAGGATTGGGATTTTAGTCTTTAATTATTTCACCTAGCACCAAGCCATTGCCTATTTCACCTTTTTTAAATCCCCTTCCAGGATCAGACCATCATTAAGAACACAACTCTGATGCACTAATATCTATAACACAGATGAAGCATTTTTCTTTTTGTTTCCCCCCGACCAGAAAAGGAACAATATGCTGTCTACCTTTTCTGAATTATACTTGGATTTGCAGTCACCAGCTGGGTTTTTGATCCAACGTCCTTGCTGTATTCACTGGATAGAGGAGGAAGGTTGCACCTGTGCACAGAAAGACAGTCAAGATTTTAAATGATATTCAGGATTGACAGGCTTCAGAAAATGTAAAAGTGATGTATAAATACCAGACCAAATGTTCCCTACTGCACCAGACCTACAAACACAATAGGACACTTTTGTACCAGACTGTGGGGAAATACAGAAATAAAACCTTTTGCAGAGATGATATCTATCTATCTGCTAAGCAAAAACAAAGGCACACATTTGGCATTTCTGACAGGCTGAAAGGCAGTGGAAGAGGCTGTTATTATCTCTAGAAATTTTTCATCCAAACTCTTTTAAAGTTCTGCTCTGCACTCTGGTCTGCCTCATCTACCAGCATCAGGCTTCAGACTCCTACCACTCTGTGGTATTACAAGCATTACATGGCAAGCAAAATTGTCATTTTAAATATTTCACTATGGGGTACCTTCAGTGTACAGAATTTACCAAGAAAGCACAGAGGAAAAAAAAAATCAAGTGGAATTTGGAATTTTTCCCAGAGAAACACTTAGTTGTTTATGTTGTTGAGTTTTGGGGTTTCGCTGGGGATTTCTAAAGAAAAAGAAAAACAAAAACCAGTTTTGAACTCTACCATAACCAAATTTGACCTCCAATTTTGAAGTTCAACCACCAAATCAAGATATCTCCATTTGCACACGCTGGTTTAATTGTTTCTCTGCAGCAGGCTGGGAAAGTGCAGCACGGAGAGGGAGCACATGAGGTACAGGAAGACAAGGGGCATGCTTGGGGGCCAGCTCGTGTCTCTTCCTGCCCCACTGAGAGCATGTGCTGAGCAAACACTGACCCTAAAGAAGGGGCTCAAGCAGCCTCTGGTTGCTTTAAGCTCTGCAGACAGTCATCCCCACACAGGGTGAGACCCCAGCTTTGGAAGAGGGCAGGCAATGGCTCAGAGAGGAATTGTTTCACATTCATGACTTCTCCTCTCAGTACCAGACAGATATGGGTTCCTTTGATGCATTTGTTACACCTGTGAAGACCCACATCATTTTTCTCACCATCTTTTGCATTAACCTCTCTGTAGTACTCCAATTCTGCGTGCATCCTCCAGACAGTCCATGTCAGTAATGAAACCCCCATGTCCAACAATAACAAGTTGCTGATCTGATTTTTTTCTTTTTAATCTTAACAATTCAGAGGCCTCTTTCCAACATTAGTGAGAGGGAGGAGCTGGGGAAGTGAGTTATGGCTCAGTTTTTACAGCAGTTTCCAGGGGCTACTGCAGAAACTGTTGGGCTGTTGTATTTATTATGGGCTGCTGTTCGCATCTGCCACGTTGGAAAAAATCAGTCTCGTCACAAGGAAAGCCCTTGCTTCCACAGCAGTCACTGCCTCTGTGCATTTTCACTGACCTCTGCAGTGCCTGGAGAAGGGATCCAGGTGCTTGTGACAGCAGAATGAGGCTGCATAAATTCCCCAGCACCTCCACGTGTTACTGCTTTGTGTAGTGTCAGTGCCCAGAGAGGGCACCGGTGCCCACACAGCACACTCTGCAATTCTGGCTAGAGCAAAACACCCCACATTCCAAAAGAAAAAACCCACACTAATGCTATATCTGCATGTATTTGCATGCAAATACCAGCTCTCAATATCATATTCTTCATTTCACATCATCAGGAAATACCAAGAAGGACAGTGATGTTCGGCCTACGTGGAACATGGATGAATTCAACCGCGTTCACCAAGAAACATAAGTTTTCCAGGAACATTTTCTCCTTTTCATGACTATATTTGTTAAAATGTGCACAATTACAGTTACAAAACAGCTTCCAGTTTGGTCTACCACAATTTAAGAGGAACCAAAATAACATTGACAAGAAAGAAAAAAATAGAAGCGTAATGGAAGCTTAATTCTCAGACATAAAGAATGATAAAATCTTAAGAATAGAAAAAGATTTACATACAATAAAGTAATATAAAAATCAAAATAAAATAAAATAAAATAAAAAAATATAAAATCAAATCAAATCTGGCAATAGGTTGCTTCCTGCCCCAGCACTGGGTAGGATACAAATTAATCAGATCAATACTATTTGGAGAGATTGTAGAAACTCTCTCAGCGGCAGTTTTCAATGGCAAGTCAAACAAATATTTGTGAAGAAACATATATATATAGGTGATTTGCCTCAGGGCAGCAAGATGGCATAAATGCCTCTGCCAGATTACAGTTTAATGCTCTCCAATTTGCATAAACACTAACTCATAGGGCAAGCTTTTAAGAAAGTGCTTTTGATTAAAGTTTCTTTAAAAGCGCTATGAAGGACTAAGATCTCACCCTGGTTTTTATCATCTCAGCATCAATTTTCATCAATAATGAAAATTCTTTCATAAGGAAGTCCCAGATGCATTGTTTAAACACATCTAATTCCTTCCATCAGTAAGTCTCATTCCCACTTTTTTGTGCATTAAATATTAAGAAAAGTCCTGAGTATCCAGAGAAAGCTCTAAGAAATCAGCTGGTTAACAGAAACTTCTTGGCCTTTCTAATTATTTTCTTGAATATGCCAGCAGAGTGCCAAGTGTTGTGCTGGTGAGGAGCGCATCAAGAAATAAAATATTCATCCTAAGAAACTTCTTTTTAATTCTCTTACTGTTACATCTGGTAATGAGGAGTGAGCATGTGAACATGCAGGAAAGAAGGAAACATCATCAAAACAGAGACAAAACCATGACTTTGGGTGAGTACCCAACATTTCTCTCATAAAATAAGCATTAGCAGGAGGCAGAAAACCAAATTTTTTTCTTAGAAATAAGGATTACGAACTTGAAAAACAGCCAGATATCAGAAGATAACCACACTAATAACCACACTATGAAACATGTAAACCATATGCCATCATGCACCTTTTTCATTGCAGATGCAGCATGCTATGCCTTAGGGGCTGAAAACTGCTGCTCTTTTCATCTCTGTGGAAAAACTGTGTTTGTAGAAGATGCTCAGCAATGAGTTTAAACTCATTAAATAACCTTAGTGATTACAACATATGAGAGAAGATGGCAAATACTCATAAGTGAAATCAAAACCCATGTGGGTGGAATAAAAGAACAAGGAGAAAACCTGGTATGACATTTTGCACTGAAGAAATACTTTGAAGATATTACACAAATTTCTTTTCAAAAAATGAAAAATTTTATGCAGGTTACCACTGTGCTCTTTCTCTCTCAGCTCTGCGATTACAGAAATCAGATTTATAAAAGATCAACCAAATCCTGTCTTTCCCCTGCTGTAAAAATATTTTCTCCCAGGGGTGTATTAGTTTCTAATCCAAAAGAATTGACACACAAATATGACTGCACATCAGTAACACAATATAGCCTGCAGATTTTTGCAGAAAACTCCCTACCATTTATTTCCAATTCGAAACAAGTTTTGCCCAGATAGTGGTTGCTTTACTGTCCCTGGAGAGAAAAAGGTTTTTTTCCTCATCAAGCTACAATAACTGCTGTGGTGGTTTTTTTTGGTTTTTTTTAAAATTTCTATTGTTTTTGCAACTGATTGCTCCTACAGCATTTCAGTTTCCCATTGCATCTAGGTAATATTACCATGGTATACACCCTGCAGTTTCTTATATTTATTCTGTGGAACACCTAGGGAGCTTTGCAGTAAGGGCAATCAGCGTGCTGCCTTTGTCCCCTGTGCCTTGCATCTTCTGCTCTATGTTTCCTTTTGCCTTTATTTTGTTTTATTTCTTTAACATAGAAGGTATTTTTGGTCTTTGAGATGCAAACTAGAAATTACAGTAATACTGTTTGGTTTGCAGCAAATTTGTACAGCTTTACAAATAAGCCATCAGGATCTAATAAGGAGACTTGCTAAAGTGGGTGTTCATTATGCACTCATGTCAAAACCCAAAAAACCCTCCATTTCTCATCTCTTTGGGAGCATTCCTCCGGTTTCTCCTTCACAATGTTTCTCTTGTTCATGTTTAACAGGGAGGAACTAATTTCTGTCTTTCTTCCTTAAAGATTGCAGACCTAGAAAGTGTCAAATTCAATCATGAAAGCAGTAGCTGGTTCAACATCCCCCCTGACAAGTTCTTATAACTTCAGGAAGGCTGCAAGGGAAGGAAATGTGAGGAATCCCATCAAGGAAAGAGGTCTGGCCTTTCCTCAGACAGTCAGCCAGAGGGAAGACAAATATGGGAAGATTTCAGCTTGAACCAACTTAGATCTTAAGCCTTGCCTCAAAATCAGCACCTACTCATCTTGAGTTCAATGTGTTGCAGAGATGGCATTTAGAGTTTCAGAGGACATTTCTCAGGATGAGACCTTGCCTATCATTACCAAAATAATGAGAAAAGCAGCTCCTCAGTACCTCCCTGAGACACTGCACCATCTGTCACAACCTTAACCACTGGCAGATTATCCCCACACCACACACCCCCATTTGCAGAAGCCAGTCACAACTCTTTTTTTTTTGCCTCTCCTCACACTTTTTACCCAAGTTGCCTGTACAAAGCATCCTGCAAATGCGAGGCAACAAGGCAAAATTGTACTTGATTAATCACAACTGAATAGCTTTGAAAACTCTGAGACTTAGCAGGGGGAAGGAGGGACAATGTGGCATTGAGGTTTCTGTCTTACCGCATGACAAAATCTGCTTGATCTATTTGTTTGCCGCAGCCGCTCTTTTTCAGGATCCCACCGTTTCCCACCACGGAGCATTTCTTCAATGGCAGCTGGAAGGGAGTAGCCTAGCAACACAAAACAAGGACCGGTTTTACAGAGAACACACACATCTTTGTAGCAGCCACTCCTGGAGAACCCGGCGAGCTGGCAGGGCTCAAAGTGACGAAAGAAAAAGGATAATTAGGAACTAAGGAAAAAAAAATAAAAGGGTAGAAATTAGCTGGTAAGTAGATGTAGGACAGGTCTTATCCCCACTCCCCAAACCAGAATGCAACAAATGTGATATAGAAGATAAAAGATATTTCTGCAAAACCAAAACTGCCTGAAGTCCTGATGCAGATATTGACCATGAGCCTACTAGGCAAGCTGCAAGGACACAGGGGAAATATGACAACCAGAAAAAAATAATAAAAAAAAAGAATCCATGCAAGTGACCTTCCTGAGATGATATACAGTAGATACCTCTGAGGAAGAAAGGAATAGGGAACAAGGTGATGACAGAAACACACTGAGAATCTGGAGTCACCCTGGTTCCCTCTATGGTTGTGTCACTGGGACGGGTCAGTCCAAAGCCTTAGGCAAAGATATTTGTAGCCTCACAGCAGCTCCTTAAACTGTCAGCTGCCCAGACACAGAATAAATTAAAATTAGAAAGGGACTATTTCAGCTAAGAAGCTCTTGTAGTCGCTTAGCAGGGCATAAAATTGCAAGGTCAAATTGTCCTGCTCTCCTGTGCATCAAACACAGTAATAAATTAGATCTGCACAGTCTTCATTCCAGAGGATCTCAAAACTATGAGTGGGACATCTTCCTGTAAACCCCAGGTCATTCACCTTTAGTGAGGCTGGGACAATCACTTAAGCAGCACACAGGGCATCAGTGCAGCACAGCATATAAAAAAAAAAAAGTGGTGAAGAGACAGGTGAATTTAAAGCAGTGTGATTTTGATACAGAATGCGATTTGTCTACAATGCAGGAGTTAATATTCTCCTCATGTAAACAGCAGTGCAGGGCTTTTTATTTGTCAAACCTGTCAAAAGCTGACTTTGCAGCAGAGACAGAAGGTACTGCACAGGCCTCTGAAAATGCAGATGCCACGGAGACAGGATGCAGCACCGCAGAACTCTCTGGGAGGAGGAGGCAGAGTGGCAGCAGCACTTGGCCTCACTTACACGTACAGAGCAACGTCTGACTTTACATCATGTATTCACCAGGCATTGCAACACAGTATGTGGTCCAGAAAACAGACCCAGTGTTACAGCACAAACTCTCCACTTGTTAGAACTCATTCCTGTTGTCTCATTTCTTTACTTCCTAATATTTACTTGCTTTGTCTTCTTTTCTCAGCAAATTAAGGCTCTGTTCAGCTAGTATAAAGTCACAACCTGCTTTCTAATGAAAAACATTAAAACATGTTTGTTATCCTAACTGTGGATTAAGATACGCTAAAGTAGAAAAATAAATTTTAGTTTCCTGAGGCCCAGCCACAGTTAGGAACCCACTGACAGCACAGTGGAGCAGTACTAAGTGTGCAGCTGCACTCTTGTCCTGCATCTGCCTTCTCAAGAACATTTTTTAATTTACAGTTATTGAACTAGGAGCATATCTTGAGATTCATCTCTGAGGTGACCCTGGCAAAATGAGAGCTCACATACTCAGTAAAGGAAGGATGTGGGGGTGGCAATTAAAGGAAATGCAGAAGAGATATATTTTATAAATAACAGTTTCTTTCTCATTCAAGATATATCAAAGCTCCTTCCAAGACAGGTAGTTACACAAAGGCAAGGCTGTGACAAACCACAGACAAAGGCAGCAGCCATTTAACTCTTGCTTTTAAGAGTAGTGAACACTGTCACATAAATTCTGTGCCTGTAGTACATGTTGTGTGGCTTGAGAACCCCAAAATAAACACTTAGGAGTTACTAAATTCTTTGAGTTGCAAAGAACCTTTGATATTGCTTGAGATGACTTGCTGTCCTTCAAGTGAGGTTTATATCCTGTTATGCTCAAAAATGATAATATCAGTTGTCACTTGCATACATGCTTTGGTTTCCAAAAGCATGCGAAGCTTTGAAACCCTTGTCCTTCTGTTATCCTGAACACTGGCTTCTTACCTGGTGTGCATGCCCAATTCACACACCAAGGAGAGGTATTTCTATTTTTTACTCCAGTTTGTGAAAAGCAGAGAGCTGGGTGGTAACCCAGAAAACACCAATCATCAAAACTTCACACAATTTATACATTTTAACAAATAAAAGCATCAACATTCATTGGTTACAAACTACATATCCTTTTCATTAATTAGTACTCAAATCTACTCCAATCCTTATTTGCTAACTATATCTCTTGCTTCTCATGCTAATTAGTCTGCATGTACAGTTCTTCTCTCTGTTTTTAGAAGGTGGTCAATGGGTTGGTGGTTGCAATTCCCCATTGCCAGAATTACCTTCCCCCATTTACTGCTCAGTCCTGCTGACTTCACTCCCAGTGGCTCTTTTCCAAACAGCCCATTCATCTTGGGATTGTGTTCCCTTTTCTTTAAAACAAAGGATTAACCAAGCCTCCGAGTTTCACAATGCAACTGCTTAATCACACCTGCCTAGTTATAGCTACTGGTTAACAACAAAATAACTGCCAAGTTTGGATCAAATCTTGAGGGATTAGATATCACTTCAGAGAGTCTAAAAAGCAAAAGAACAAGATAAGGGCTGAGAAGGTGGTGTGAAGGAGCCAGAGGAAAGCAGAAGGGACAGATAAAATCACCATGTTGGTTGTCCCTCTGCCTAACTTGTGGAGAAATCTACTCGCTCTGTGGACACAGGAGAAAAAACAGGCTGAATACAGTTCTCTGTGAAAAGCCACGATGCCCACAGGAGCCCTCAGACACTTTTGCCTTGCCTAGCAAAGTACTGAAAATTCAGGACATGGTACAGACATTAGACAGAGTCTACACGCCACCATTTAGCTTAAAATGTTCAACAGATCCATTTTGCCAAAGACCACACTCATAAACTTTCCATACACATAAAGCAAAATACACAGTCCAGTGATGGGGTGTGGGGGGTTGTAAGGCCAAAGGATTAAGTGTCCCTGCTGCTTGGTGGCATTTCAGCTGCTTTGAGTTTAATGAAGAGCAAGCAATTGCTTGGGATGACCTGGGAGAAACCTGCATTTATCTTGCACATGACTCTTCTTCAGACATTTAAATCACAGATCTGTATTATTGCTGAGACTGCAAGATCATTTCAGGAACTCTTTGTCCAACCAAACACAAACTGATTGGTCACACAGAAATCATACAAGTCTGAAACTAAAGTGCTGCCCATAAGCAAGTATAAAACATACGGCTTCTTTTTTTCTCTCTACAGAAGGCATTTCTCCTTTCCCTCTTTCAGAGAAACAGGCTCCAGGGCTTTTAAATTTTTGGAAAATCACCATCCTGTAATCAAGTTAGCAGCAGCATAGCCAACCCACTGCAGGACCCTGGTGCTATGGTACACTTCCCTCTCCTCCACATCCAAAGGATGCTCCTGGGACAGATGGTACTTAGAGGTTCTTCAAAGCTAAAATGCTGTGGGCTTCACTCTGTGACTTCCCATAAGCACTCAGCTCATTCCTTCCTTTGGGCTGTCCAAAATAGGCAGTGCAAACAGCTTAAGCAAAATCTCAACACAATTAACCAAAAGGTAGTTTTAGACCTCAGACACAGTAGAATTACTCAGCTTGTGGAAATACATCACCACTGGGCTTTCAAGATGTTTCCCTGCATCCTCTAGCTGTTCCAACTGCCTGTTTGTCAGAGCGTGCACTGTGGGTTTAAGGCTGGATTTAATAATTAATTATCAAAACCTGGAGTTATTTTTTTTCCTGTAAGGATAAATAGCATCAAAGATGAACTCCAACAATGACTTGTTTCCTCATACCAAGTGATCTCACATTGTCTTCATGGTGTAGGTGTGGGTGATCTGTCTTCAGATTTTTTTAATGTTGTTGGGTTAAAGGTTATAATAATCGTATAACTTGTTCCAGAATTAAACTGGTTTTACTTTTTTTTTTTTTTTTTTTTTTTGTAAAATAGATTTGGACATTGTAATTTCAATAAGAGCCAATTTTCAGTTTTAAGGAGATAATACTATATAGTAAACCCAAGCTGGCTTCTAGGTTTCTATTACCAGCAAAATATATTCTACAGGACTCACAAAAACCTTCTCATGCTTTTCTTCTTCACCTCCCACAGCATAACTCTTTGCTAGGCAAATTGTCAGTTCATATTGACAGCGTGAAAGTTCTCACATTGTAGGGACCCAGCTGTCATTTATGCTAAATGCTCAAGAAAACTCAGTTGTTTTTCTCCTTAGAACTGTAAGCTGGCCTAATGAATGCTGGCTTTGGACAGTAAAGTTGTTACAAAAGCATTTCCACTAATATTAGCTTCCTGAAACTCTGTTATTTTCATTGTCAACACATTTGTTATTTTCTTCATTCATAGAATTTTCATGAATGGTTGGAGTCTTGTGGGTGGACTAATAAAAACAGTGCAGCATTGGTTTATCTAGTGTAATAGAGAAAATGTACAAATAAATCACCAACTCTTCCTGGTTTTTAACAAATCATTACCACAGAATTTGCAAAGACTCTTAATTAAAAGCACCTTGCATACTGGAAATAAGCAGAGTGAATTCCCTTTAAAAGTAAGTCAAGTAATTTTAAAAGGATTGCATAAAGTGGTTTTTTAAAGGCATCTCCAAACAAAACCAAAGACAGAAAGGCCCCACTGTCTCATTTTCCCTGGTTTAAAACAATGAAATTCCATTGATAATCAAAGAAGATGTTCTATTTCATATTCATGTAAACAAAAGAAGAACCTGTACATCCCCCTGCGAATTCAATGACAAATAAGCACACAGAGCAATAGATTAAAGACTCCCAATTGAATATGGGACTAATTTAACAAAGCATCTCTCCAGCAATTCACTGATTAGTTTAATCATTCATCGAAGTAGAAATAAATCATTGTCATCTGTTAAAAGAACATTACACAGTACTAACAAAAAATAATTTCTTT